GGGAGAGTCATTTTCTGGGACTGTAGAAGGTGAGCTTCCGTACTGTCAAGTGGAAGGTACAGACTCACGGTGTGAAGCAGTTATTTTGGACGGAATGGGTGGAGCAAACCTTTGAGAAGCTGATAATGCTGTTCGTACGAAAGCGAAGTTCAGTCGTAAACTCCATGTTTGGTTCATCCACACCATTTCTGGACAGTTGACTCCACCACGTCGTCATTGCCTAAAACTTCAAATCAGAAATCGCATATTATTGTATAGCTCGAACCAGGACTGATCGCGAGTTGGGTAAAAGGCAGTAATCACTATGGCTGGAGGGCGGAACGGTTTTGATGGCGTCATTGCACGTCATTGGTGGAACCACGTCAAGGGGCTGCCCCAACCACGGCCACCAAACTGCTGCTACGACTCGGCTACCAATGACGTTCTATGTATGGCGTCGTCAAAACAGCGCCGCCCTTCAGCTGGAAAACCACAAATACGGCCACTGTCTAGAGGATGGCCGTGGCCGTATTTGTGGTTTCCCAAGGAAAATCGTTTTTGGGATTGACATAGTGGATTTGGGAGGCACTGAACTAAATTTTTTCAGGCGATTGCAACAAGATTTTCTGAAAAATTCCGGTAAATTTCCAAAATTTGACATTTTCTGCTATTCAAACTCCTTCTATCACCGCCCCGCCAACGCAAATTTTTGTAGTTGGAAGGGTGGCAGGGCGAGCACGGGTGTGGACCCTCAAGGGGCAGGGTCAAGCTGGAGTTCTAAGATTAGTCGAACTCTATGATTGACCCTGTTTAAAGCCTCTGAACCAAAAAAAAGAAGTCTGACGCCCTACCGTTTCTGCAACATTCCCCAAATCAAGACTCATGTCGGTTTCCCTGAATGTGTTCTCCTTCAGGCCTGGTCGGGTGCTTTCCTGCGAAATTCCACCGCTGCATGTCTGAGCGCTTCGCATTGCAGAGCTCTCAACATCGCATACATATTCCTGAACAATTGAAATATCTACTCAAAATAGGCCATGTTTGAAAAGGATTGCTGATAACCCAACTCAACGAACCATCTTTTCCATATTGGTGGCCGGTGGAGCAAGGCCGAGGTTATCATTTTGCTGTAGTCCTTGAGCCAGACTTGATCTGCAAGGACTTAGTACAGTTTTCTCCAAGCTGAGGGAAAGGTGTAGTTGCTCTTGTTACTTGTCTTGTGTTTATTTCTGTGCACGGATTGTGGTTGGATTTTATCTGGTCCCCTTCATGCGATCACCGTAGCCAAGAGGAGATAGGTGGTCAGACGATCAGCTGACAAAAGGACTACTGAACACATTGATATAACCTCTTTTGCATGCTTTTTGTGCTCCTTTTCAGGACGGAAAGACATTGTAGAGGCGGAGTATAGAACTGATGACCATAGAATTTAAAGACAGTCGCTATCGCAAAATACTGGGGCATCCTCCGGGACTAAGCTTAGTAGGGGGCAGGAACATGGAGAAAATAGAAATGGCTCATGCATTCTGGAGTTCCTCGTCTGAAGGCTTAGCCTTTTACACAAAAAGAACTTGGTTGACGCGATTTTAGGTGCATTGCCACCACAACGCCCCGGGCGCATCTGCTTTGGCCGGACGTGGGGAAGGGCATTAAATGTCAACATTCTGAAGCGAAAACTTCCGCCAGTAGAAATACAAAGAAAGCCAGGAAATGTGAGGAATAAGGCCCTTCTCCAACCGTTTTTTGGCGCAATTCGAGCATAAAATAAAAACACATGCTGTTTGGACGTAGACCATACGGCCGTTGGGAGGAGGGGGAGGTAGGAGTTTCGAGGGGGGTAATTAGTGCATGGAAGCAGCAAATCATACAATCTTATCTAATTCTCGCTACTTTCATCGTAGAACGTTCACCAAACTCGTCAAAAAAGTCAAAAACCCGTCTAAATGGCTACCCCTTCTAATGACCCCCGCATCCTCACTCACGCTCCTCCAAAGATTGTTCACCTCGCTCTACTCCGAAATGCGGCCCTCCTCTTCCCCGAAATCACAAATGCAATCCCATTGTTCGAATACTGCGAACGGACGGTAAATCCTTTTTCGGCTTACACCTGAAATCCCTTTGTTCTTTTGGAGTGAACTTGTCCGCTTTGAAGTACGAAATATTAGGTCATCTCATTCAAACATGTCCACGGTTTTATTCGAATAAAATGAACAGCAGGAAAGATAAAAAGCTAATACTTTGGTGTGAAGTCAAGCAGATCTTGTCGTTGTTAACGACCCGATCCCAGCGTCTAGAAAACACTGGACACCGCGCAGCTTCTTCATTTCAACAAGTATAGACAAGATGCTTTTGATGTCAGTATAGATGATCAACGAATTGTCGTAGCGCTTCCGAACGAGTAGGGCGTTCAGTTCGATAAAACAGCTGAGGTCGCATGGCTGCAGTTGGGAAAATACGGCTGATAAGAAGAGGCCACAATATCCGTTTGATCGAAATACCCGTGAGCAATATGAGCTATGTAGGGTCTGGTATCGACATAGGTGATGATATCGTTATTGTAGTTTTATACTGCTATTCCTTTGTCAATTTGTTCGCTAAGAAACAAGCCATAAACTTGAGAAACGCCGGAGGTTTTTTCCCGACAGAGCCATTTAAGAGGCACACTCAGAAATCCATCGCCATAATAATCATCCACGTGAACCCACGTGACTTCTCGTGATCCAATTCGGGCAGTTCCTCATTCGCGTTAATCCAAAGTTGACACTTCTGACTTTGGCCTCAGCGTACAATTACACACAAATTTCGTTTATGAGCAGGGTCCAGTTTGATAGTCTTAAATGCCGTTATCGGCAGAGAAAATCATTGCTACAGACACCAATTCGATTCTGGACTCCTGCATCTGGGAGTAAATGGGATATCCAAAAACATGTTCTGTGGACCATCCCCAATTTTTGGGCACAATTTGCGTAACAGGTGCAGCTAGACTGCAAGTCTCGTGGGCAAACATCGCAAAGGTTCAACATCTGTGATGCGCCATTTGAAACCTCATTTCATCCACCCGCTCTCTTGGGGCAAGGTGGACAATATGAACGCGTCCTCAACCACAACTCGCTTCCGTTCTCCCTTCTTTGAGCTCTCACACCATATCTTCAACGTAGCACTTCGAGAACACTGTATCACGCGTAAGTTGAGCCAGCACACACAGAATTCGAGTTGCGAATTTTACGTGTGTCACCAGTCATCTGGAAATTCCACCTCGATTTGGGTCACTATGAATTCTTTTATGTGTTTAAGTGTTTCCTCCTGCAGCACTATAAACTAAATTAGAGTATACCGTAGCTGGGTGTGCTAGCTTAAAAGCAAAAGCAAGTAGAATGCTCTAGCTCTTTTACTTTTCCCACCATTTCTCTAGATGTCTGGACATGTTTGAATGAGTTGACCTAATATTTATTATAGTGTATAGTTTGCTCAGACTCCGAAATGTGACATCATTCACGTCATTTCTGCGGTATCTGCGTTTTGGAAGCGCCAGGAAAAATACCGGTTCATGCCCGAGACCGGGCATAAGGACATGGCGACGCTTGAGCAGAGCACACGAGTGCCTACTTTTGAAGAAGAACCGGGGATCAAATTGATGTGATAAATCTGCTCGAGTATAAGTAGGGATGCGAAATGGATCACGAGTGAGGAAATTAGGAAGAGATATTGTCAGAAACACAGATAATAATTGATAATTTCTTGCTTTGCGCGGCGGAGAAGCCGAAGAAGCAAACAACAAGATAGGAGATGATGTGAATCGTGGAGAGCGAAAAGAAGCCCTAGTCGAGAGAGAGCATAATAGATAATATCACAATATTTATTAGCTACTGAGATGGGCGGGCCAAGATCTGAACGCCTAGCACTTTGTTGAAATGTTTAAGGGCTGTTAAGGGCGTTGTTTAAGGCGTGCCTGCCATTGCAGAGATCGGCCTAGCACCTGTATTCATGAGAGAGACTTCTTCAGTGAGACCGAACCCGACCCTTGCCTTTAACCCACATACAATGATGCTACGAATTTCCCGTTGCCACCGTTTCGGGTAAATTTCGAAAATCTAGCATTTTTTGCTATTCAAACTCTTGTATAAACCCCGCTCAAAGCGGTTCCTTGAAATTGGAAGCGATTTCAAGTGTATGGTTAGCTTCTGCAGGGCTGACCTAATCATGCAACAAGCCTTATCTCTTTTAGCTGGTTACAGTAACCGAAAGGTAGAAGGGGACTACATGAGTTCGAATACAATATATTGTTGAGAGCTGGCTCTAAAATTTCCCACACTACAGTTTATTTGCATCCAACTCTTCTTATTTATTTCCAGAGTGGAGCGTAACCTTTCCTTTACCTAGACCTAGACCCAAGGTCAACCCTATCGTTGAAACTTTTTGGAATTTATTTACGAGCCCCCTCCCCCCCCCTGAGATCCAAAAAACCAATGGGTGTAATAATAGGTGCAATAATATGAAAAATAGGCTAGACCTCGTGACAATAACTATTCTAAGAGCTTTTCCCAGCCCCAATAGGGCCAATTTCATAGGCTGTAATGTGGCGTGATCTGTGATTCAACACTTCTTACCTCAATGTGTTGTGCCTGTTGAGAAATGAGTCCCTCAATTCGTCCGTCATGTTACTATTTCCTGGGCATCGTTGTGAAGAAACTGAGAAGTTGCAGTTGAATGTACCTTACCAGAAGACAAAACCATACTTTACTTGTAAAAAACTGCAGAAAGTAAAGCGCTATAGCAAGATATGGGGGCATCCTCTGGGA